CGGCTAATTATTGTATTTTTAGTAGAGATGGGGTTTCACCGTGTTTGCCAGGATGGTCTCTATCTCCTGACCTCATGATCTACCCGTATCAGCCTCCCAAAGTGCTGAGATGACAGGCGTGAGCCACCACACCCAGCCTGTTTTTCTTTTAAATGTAGTCTCTCCCTTAGCCTTCTGTTCTTGGGTGTGTCCACCTACAAACACTCCAAGCTTCACTGAACCACATTCTCCACCCTCTCGGCACCTGCTGTTCGGTAGCTGAGAATCACAGGATCAAAACAGGCAGTGGCGAGTTGCTGTCCTGTGCAATCGGGTCATGGATATAAACTTGTTTTCCCAGCATTAGTCATCTGGTCCACTCATTTTCCCTACTACCTGAGACAATTTCACAACAATTTCATTCCCTGGAGACATGTGCACCTACCTTGTTCTTCTGGATGCTTAACAAACGACCCCCACCCCTTCAAATAATATAAAACCATTTACTTTGAAAGCCTCAACATTCTCTCAAGAAGCCAACTCTGATCTGCACCAGTACACACAGCTGGGCATGGTGGCAGGTGCCTGTAGTCCCAGCGACTTGGGAGGCTGAGGTTTGAACCCGGAAGGTGGAGGTTGCAGTGAGCTGAGATCGTGCCACTGCACTCCAGCCTGGGTGACAGAGTGAGACTCCCTCTCAAAAAAAAAAAAAAAAAGGGGGGTGGATGTGTGTGCCCAGATTAAAGCCTCTTACTAACACAATAGGAATGTGACCGCCTCCCCAGGTGCCATGGAGAGTTATAAGCAGCATACATACAAGACTAGTGGATGGTCAGTGCTCACACGTAGTAGCAAAGATTCCATTCCAGAGCAGTTCACGTGCGGTGCAGCCACCTCTACTAACTTCCAGACTATTTCCATCGCCCGAGAAGGATACCCTGTACCCATTTAGCTGTCCTCCTTCTATTTCCCATTCCCTCTAGCCCTGGCAACCTCTCTACTTTCTGTATGAATTTGACTATTTGGGGTATTTTATACAAATGGAATTATACACCATGTGACCTTCTGTGGCTGGCTTCTTCGTTTTCAAGGCTCATCCATGTTGTGGCATATATCAGCACTTCCTTTTTTTTTTTTTTTTTTTTTTTTTTTTTTTTTTGAGAGAGTCTAGCTCTGTCACCCAGTCTGGAGTGCAGTGGCATGGTCTCGGCTCACTGCAACCTCCACCTCCCAGGTTCAAGCGATTCTCCTGCCTCAGCCTCCTGAGTAGCTGGGACTACAGGTGCCCGCCACCATACCCGGCTAATTTTTGTATTTTTAGTAGAGACAGGGTTTCCCTATGTCTTTATTTACCCACAATAAAGCATGGCCGGGCGTGGTGGTTCATGCCTGTCATCCCAGCACTGTGGGAGGCTAAGGGGGTTGGATCACCTGAAGTCAGGAGTTCGAGACCAGTGTGACCAACATGGCAAAACCCCATCTCTACTAAAAATACAAAAGTTAGCCAGGCTTGGTGGCGGGCACCTTTAATCCCAGCTACTCCGGAAGGGTGAGGCAGGAGAATCGCTGGAACCCGGGAGGCAGAGGTTGCAATGAACTGAGATGGCACCACTGCACTCCAGTCTGGGCAACAGAGCGAGACTCCATTTCAAAAAAACAAAAGTATCCCTGCAGTAGTTAATTTGACCCATGTTAATCAGAGGTTAGTTTCCTCCACGTTGGGAATCCCGCAGTCATTTGTGTTGCAGCACCTTTTACCATCACGGATTTGCCTCCCCCTTGCATCTATCCTCAGCCTCCCTCCTGGATGTTTTGTCTTTATAAATGCTCAGATATTATTTTAAAAGCAAAATGAAAAACAATCTAATCTCACCGTCTAGCCATAGGTGGCTAAAATAACTTGAGCTGCATCTTACTAACTTTTTACTCTATCATAAGAATTCTGGCTGGGTGCGGTGGCTCATGCCTGTAATCCCAGCACTTTGGGAGGCTGAGGCCGGTGGATCACTTGAGGTCAGGAGTTTGAGAACAGACTGGCCATACATGATGAAACCCCATCTCTACTAAAAACACAGGCGGGCTCCTGTAATCCAGCTACTCAGGAGGCTGAGTCAGGAGAATCGCTTGAACTGGGAAGGTGGAGGTTGCAGTGAGCTGAGATCATGCCACTGCACCCCAGCCTGAGGGATAGAGCAAGACTCAGTCTC